AAATTATGTTACAAGTACCTATGATGAAATAAAATGATAGCGAAACGGATGCGGTGTGTCAGTGTTTTACCGTGATTAGTCATATTTTACTTATTTTAGATTCTGATTTAATTTAAGTCACCACTTCGAGTATCATGCATGACTACGTCACATCTCGTGAACCGACCTTGGTTCTTGTACTTGACGAAGTGAAACGGAATAGGGAATAGATTCTCTTCATGGGTTCTCTTTGTATCATGGGTAATGGGTATGGTATAAAATACCGTTCTTTGTTCAGTTCCTGAGAGAGTAGGTACAATGGAAAGGAGTACGTTCAAAAACATAAAACTATGTAAGCTTTCTTTATGCACTCGAAATTTGATGAGAATAGCTAATAAGAAGTTGCCATATTTTTAGAAAATATTCTATTCTATTTAACCCGTAAATAGAAATGCAACTGTTAGCTAGGGTACCTACCTAAATTTAAATAATATGAACCTATAACTTAATGGTAAAGTTATTAACAGTTTTTTATGTTCCTAATGTTCCCTATTTATTCGAGTGGCATCCTGGAGTGTAGGTTTTTGTGAGATTTGTGAGGCATTTCAAGAAAAATGTTATCATCGATTAGTCTAAATCAAGTGTTCAAACGAATTTATTATCTTCAAAACCTAAATTTGGGCTTATAATCCGAAATTCGTATACAGAGTCGTTTCGAAACGGTTCATGGGACGGTTGACTTTCAGCAGAAAGAAATGCAAAACTGCAAGTGGAAAAACGAAACCAGACAACAAAAATTGATTATTACTACACTATTACAGAAATCAAAAATAAAATTCTGGGATGTGAGAGCCACCTGTGGTAGTCACCACTGCTGAAAACAACAATCTTTATCTGTGGCAGAAATATCACAACGGAAAGAAGAGAAGATTAAGCCTGAGGAATACAACCTCAAATCTCTAGGAGAACAAAGCTTTAAAACATGAAAAAGATTAGTGCAAAAATGACAGAGTAGTCTGAATTACCAAAAGCTTCAAATGCATCACCAGCAAACAAAGAAAGTATTTACAGAGCAGCAATTGAAGCCCTGAGCAAATACAAAATGCTTATTGGTGAGATGAAGAAATCGACGAAGATATAGCAGACAGAGTTTAAACAAAAAAAAGAACAGACACAGAACATAAAAACTGCATTCAATAAGAGTTATGAAGGAAGAAGTTAGGAAACACTGTAGCTTCTTGAAAAATGGAAGAGCGCCAGGCCCAGGAGAAATATATGGAGAGCTGAGAGCTGGTAAAATAAGAGAGCAATAAACTTTACAAACAACTAACAAAACTATTCAAAACATGCGTGAAATAGCGGAAGACTGGAAAGCTATTTCACAAAGATATGTGAGGAGACAGAAACAGATGTGAAAACCTCCGAGGTATTGCAGTGACAAATACGTTACATTAGACAGGGTAAGTACCTATGTCAATGTGAAAAAGTTCTAAAAACCAAAATAGAAAACGACTACAAAGATAGTGAAGCAGAAAACGAGGACAGTTTTACAGCAAGAAGAAGACCACTTATTTAAATTGACCCAGATGATAGAAAAGAAACTATCTATGACCAATAGAACTCAACTCACTATTTGTGGATTTGAAAAAAGCATATGACAATCCCACTAGCAGCATCCGTGTACATGACATACCTATAAATTGATATACCTAGGAGCATGAGAAATGGAGATTAGAAGTAGGTAAATCTGATGAAAATAGAATATATGGTATAGTAGTGGGAGAATATCGAAACTTGAAATTGAATAACGGTTGCTGGCCAGAAACTCAAATTGCTGAGAGCAAATTTTTAGGAACCGTGTCCTGTATGTAACCGTTTTATCAGCTAACCGGTAATCATTCATAGCACATATTTATAATTAGGTAATTTTCGGAAAACTAGGGAAGCACCAAATATTTAATAACAGTGCCTAAATGGTACTTAAACAACATCCTAATGAAACATTGTACAGACCAAAGTTCTGCTGGAGGCGCTTCATCTAGAAGCACTTTTTACAGAAGGTATGTCCTGATGCGGGGAGGAAGGAGGACGTACACCAATGGAGTGGTGACGCGTCCGGCAGGACATTTTTCGATGAAGACCAAACATTATAATTTTTCGGGAAAGCTATGGAAGCACCAAAGCTGTTTTCTCGCTTTCACTTTTTTGAAACTGGTTCAAAACAGGTTTGAAATTGGAGCATCCATATTTGACATATTGTTAGCCCAAGCAGCGCTTTTACGTCCTAACAACGTCGTCATTGATGTCTTGACGTTAAGGCGCGACGTCAAATAGACGACTATACAACCCTTATTTTCACCAAAATGGAGAATCATTTCATGGTTGTAACGACGTCGCAGGTCGCGAGGCTTTACTAATTTTTAACTTATACGTCAGCATACACAACCAGATTTGAACGTTTACTAAACGTCGTAAACCATGACTAACCTAAAAAAAAAATACCAAACCAAATAAAGGATGTTCCAGGCTTAACATATTGTACCAAATTGTCTCTTTTGGTTTATTATTGGTGTTCTTTTATTTCCCAACTCATTACATTAAAAACAAAATGAATAGATACCTATAAGAATATTGGGGGACATAAAATAATAATGGCGCCTGGCCTTGTCAACAATAAAATACGTGAAACTATATATTTAGCTCCTGTAGGCACAAAAATTTCAAACGAAGTCAACTTTTCTGTCAAATATAATTATGATATGCACACAAAACAAACGGGCTCTTATTTTGTTAATATTTTCCAAAAAAAAAAAAATGTAATTTACATAATTTCTTATATAGTTCCGATGGGTCAAAAACATCTTTGGGCAAGTCCGATTTACACAAAAATAAATAATTTTGATACAATTTTCTTATTAAGGATTGATTTTTCAGATATTATTTTATTTTTATTAAACATGCAGCAATGGCGGATGATTAGATAGGACCTTGCGGTGTATAAAATGGCCGAGTTAATAATCTGCACCTTATCCTAACCTAATGCGTGTTTTCGTCATGAAAATGGACTTGATCTATATAAACATAGGACCATATGTAATAAAATAGTACAAACATATAAACCTAGATTGACTATAGCCTATAGTCCCATATGGTAACCTATCGTAACCAGTTCTTTAGGTGCTTCAACGCTCTGATTTATTTGAGATTTTCCAGGAAACTGTAAATGTTTTATTTTTGATGTTGTTCAAAATCTTGAAATATTTCCTTTTAACCCGTCATTTATTGAATCTTTTTTAATTTCTTAAGTGGAAATTACAGGGTTCTCTTCCAATTTTCCTTCTTGCCCCATTTCCTTCATGTTCACATTTCTCCCTTTTCACTAAATCTAAAAAAAAAATCTTGTTCTGTAATATGTTGATAAGTATTTGAAGCTCCTGTTTTTTCCCATATTATATGTCCCAAAAATACAAAAGCAAATACTTATTCAGATTGTTAAAAACGTTTTATAGTAACGCGCGCCATATCTATTGTTTGTTTATGTTTTCATTTGACTGATGACAGTTTATTAACGAACGACGCAAAAAGTATGAAATGCTACACCAAATTTTACCTGTGTTCAAATTTAACGTTGGCCGGACGTTTTTCTAAGACCTCTATCTGACCTTATCGTGTCAGACGACGTTTTTAAAACGTTTCAGAGGTCAGAGGATATGAAGATAACGACGGATTGACGTCTTCAATGCAAAGTTGAATATGGTACAATATTATGACGTCCATTTTACGATTTTTATCTCACCTTATGATTGGTCGTATTGGACGACGTTTAACAAACGTTTCTGAGGTCACAAGTATACAAGAGGACGACGGATTGATGTTATCAATTTAACGTTAAAACTGGTTTTAATTTATAACGTCAAAATTGAGCTAGATAAAGGTCCGATTTCTTGACCTCATATTAAGGACGACGGCACGCCGTAATTTTAACGAAAAATCATTGGCGGACACTAATCTGCACTGTATCTGTACTTCTGGGGACGTTGTATTTGGTTAACACGTAGTCGCAGGGACATGTATGTGCTACTTGGGAGTTTTTTTTGACGTTGAGAAAACGTTGAGTGAGCAGAGCACATTTTCAAAATTAAATTCCGGAAAAACTAGGAAAGCACTAAGTTTCTTATTAGGGCACCTAATTAGCACTTGAAAGGTACAAAAATTTCATACATTACTTACATTAGGCTATTTTTCGCGACATAATTTTTCCAAATGTTCGATTGTGTTGAGTAATTTGAGAATTACCCAACGACATATAGGTGGATTACCCAACATAATCGAACATAATCTTTGGAAAAATTATGTCGCGAAATGCTTGATAGGTATATTGTTTTTGATGACTCTCTGTTCTACTATTTCAACAAGGGGTTCAACCATCGAATCTATTCATAGCGGCAAAAGACGAATTTACAAAACATGTTGTTCAACAAATCGCACTACGATTAAACTTAAATTCATTCTACCAAAATTTAGAACCAGACTTAAGAATCCAGCTTTATTCAGGTACCTTATTTATAACTATAACATTTAATTTTTATCCATTATCAAATAGCAATTTTTATTTATTTTCTCTTATGTATCTTCCTTATCTGTAGAACCGTGAGAAAATATTCGAGTGATTGAGCTAGTCTGATTAGTCAGACCAGACGGCGAGAAAAACAATACGCCCTATCGAAACTTTTATTCCGAACAACTGAACACCATATTTGAACTCAAGACCAAGTTCTATGTTTTCGAACGCCCTCTTGTCGAATTGCACATCTGCGCTCGCGTACAGCCACTCCTCAACCTACGTCAACAGCTTTGCCCCAACACAGCACAATCTACCGTCACGATTCTGCGCAAAAACAAAAATTCGTGCGTAGAATCCGAAATTTGTATTCGGAGTGGTTTCGAAACCGTTCATAGAACGTGTTGGAACAGACCTATTGTTGACAATGGACAGCACAGGCGTGACACATACAAAAATTGTTAGAAGTTTAGTTTAGTTTAGACCTCGGAGTTTGGTAAATTCGTTCTCCGGGATTATTACTGTTTAAAGTTTAGTTCTTATCGATTGGTATCGGTTTTTAGTGAAAATAGAACTTAAAAGTACAAGCTTTCGATATTTCTTGTTAATTTTACGCATTCAACCTAATCAAAGACAGTTTGTGAATATTTGAATGAGAATTCCTTGAAAATCTTTGAGTCCATACCACGCCAGCTTATTCGTCTAATGCAGTTATAAAGACTTGATTGTGTGTGTAGGTACCTACACTTTTCATAGCAGCAGGGTTCTTTGAGATTAACAATTTTCCTATGGATATTCGCGAAAAACAATAGTAGTGTTGTTTGTTATGAATTTACTTAGTTTGTTTTAAAAATTTGACCCAGGAAATTTCCCGAAGAAGCTATATTTTCTTTCAGAAAATGTGAACATTGTTTATTGAAGGAAAATACCCCTACAAAAGAAGTTACTCAATCCAAATGGAACTTATATTTTTTATACTACTGGTAATTGGCCTGGCAGCAGGTCAAACACAACTTACTACTACTAGCTTCAGAGGAGGTAAGTGCTCATAAGCTCATATTAAATCATATTCAGGTGATTTAATGGATAATATATCCATTCTACCTGAGAGTACTTTTATTTTTTCTAGGTAGGTCCTGAGGTTCTATTATTTAGCTTCAGCTAGTCTCTTTCTATGAACAACTAGGTAAAATCGTCCTAAAAAAACTCTTGAAGAAGCCTGTTTTTATTCTCATTACCTAAGTACCTAACTAGAGCATGAAATTTCATTTATGGTTTTCCCTCGGGTTTTTCTGTTATAGCATAAACTACCTACTTGATAAACTATCAAGTATTTTATGTTATAGTCATGATTAGAAACTTAGCTTCTCCAACTTCTCTGTACAATGTATTATTCTGTCACAACAATCTAGAACTTGGTCAAGAATCCTTATCATATAGGTAACTTAACCCGTGAATAGTTAGCACACCCTAATTTGTAGCACACTCAACTTTTTCATAAGTTCTTGCCTGTTTGGAAAGAGTTCTATAGTTCTTGGAGAGGTGCAGTAATAGGTCTGAAGTAGAAGTTGGATATGTTTAAAACAAAAATAGGGGTGCTAACTTCATGCCGCATCAATAGTTGTATTCCTTTCTCACCTAGGAGGAGCTCCGGAACAGCTCTGGGGCTTCACGCGTTTATTCCTTTCCAAAAGTGTTTGTCGTACCACGCATTTGTTCCCTGCAAATCGGGGGCTACTAAACACCGGAGTGAGTAGCTCGAGTGTTTCAAACTCTTGAAAGGAATACAACTAATTATGCTGAGAACTGTTGTTTTTCGAGTAGCACTCGCACTCCTGAGTTCTAGCCGAGGTTCTCTAGCTATGAAAAGTAATTTTTGATAGGAGACAACCAATATACTATAGAGTGCTATTCAGCAATCAAATTCTATTTTGGTGCCTAGAACTCCTGTTGTTCTACTAGCTCCCCTGAGTTTCAGCTATGAAGGGTAATTTTTGATAGAAGAAAATGAATATACTATAAAATAATAGTCAGAACTTCGAAGAAAACCTATAGAGAATGAACGTTTTGGCTACAAGAGAAATCGAATACAGTTGTTTTCTGAGTAGCACTCCTGCGTTCTACTAATTCAAAGCTAGAACTCAGGGGTGCTACTCAGAAAACACCATCAGTTTTCCGCATCAAAGCTGTCATTTTTCTTGCAGCCAAAACGTTTATTTACTATAGTTTTTTTCGCAGTTCTGACTAGCACTATTTGGTATTTTAATATTCTTCTATTAAAAATCACTTATTGAAGCTAGAACTTGGGGTGTTACTAGAAAAACAGGAGTTCGAGGCATCAAAATGGCATTTGATTGCTCTGGAGACCGAAACACACATTCTCTATAGGCTTTCTACATATTTCTGAATAGCACTCCAAAGTGCTTTGATTTTCTTCTATTAAAAAATACTTTCAAAGCTAGAACGCAGTGGTGCTACTCAGAAAATAACAGTTCTCAGCATCAAAGCTGTTTTCCTCCTGCAGCCAAAACGTTCTATCTCTATAGTTTTTTTTCAGGACTTCTGAAAAGCACTATCTGGTATTTTAATATTTTTTTTTATACCCTCAGGTATTTAGAAAATAGAATTGTTCGGAACTATATCTATAATTTATCAAGAACTATAGAACTATATTATAGTAGTCCAACAAATGTCATCAGAACTACTCTAAAATCGATAAAGGGTGCGGCATGAAGTTACCAACCCTACTTTATTTTTTTTTAAATTTCAACTTCTACTGCATAACTATTACTGCAATCCTCTGAAAATTATAGAACTATAGTACGTAGATCGAGAAATGTCATCAGAACTCCTCCTGAAGTTAGCACCCCAAACTTTCAACTTCTACTGCAGAACTATTACTGCACTTCTCCGAGAACTATAGAACTCTCTCCAAAAAGGCTAGAACTCCTCAAAAAGTTGAGGGTGCTAACCCACAGCTAATTCATCTCGGTGTTGTTAGGGTTAAAAAATATAAACAAAAAAAAGAAGTAGGTAAGCTCGGAAGTAAGAAATTGGATGATCCACACCTAGATAATAAACAAATAGTTGTTGCGGTAGTTGATCACCTGATTTATTAAAGAGACTTGAGGATATGGGTTTTAGGGGAGTTATATAAAATCTGATTGGAACTTATTTGGTGGGAAGGAAACATTATTTTTCGCTCAGTGTTGTTGACAGTGCGATTCTCTGAACTCTGGAGTGAGTAAGGGACCCCTTACTTAAGGTTCTGTCATGCGCCCTTTGCTGAGACAAAATATAAGTAAGTAAGTAAGTTTATTAATCAAAAAATATTACACTTTGTTAATTAAGCAATGTACAGGAAATATGATGCTTAAGTTTTCTCGAAACTTGTATGCGCCTTAACTGTTGGTTGGTACATTTTGCTATATATTATTGTATATTTGCTTACATTTCTAAATTTAATCTACCTTAATCTGAGTGAGATGGTGCTGAAAGAATATCCTATTAATTTCAAGACAAGACTCGAAGTCCGAGTTGGAAAAAAAAATGAAAATCTCAATATTTATGTATTTTCACTTGTTAAGGGTAGTTTTTCATATTTCGACGGGGTTTGAGTTGATGGTATTTTGCATGGGGATAGGACATGATCTTGAAATAGTACCCTATCAATTTCATTACAAGACTCGAAGTCCGAGTTAGAAAAAAATACGAAAATCTCAATATTTATGCATTTTCACTTGTTAAAGGTAGTTTTTCATATTTCGACGGAGTTTGAGTAAATGGTATTTTGCATAGAGGTTGTAAATAAGTTAAAATAGTGCTTTATAAATTTCATGGCTAGACTTGATGTCTAAGTATGATTTATTGAATTTATTTTGAATTAAAAAACAATGTTACGCCATTAGTCGTTCGGGTGTTTCCCTCAAATTGGCTGCCAAGTTTTGGCTTCTAACTTCACACCGGTTTTTTATCACCACATTATACACGCTATAAGTAGGTACCTACCTAACACTACAGAACACAACATAGAACACTATGTAGGTATGTAGTAATTTTCATTTTATTTTCTGAGGTACATACAGGGTGTTTTTTTATATATTGACACTCCACCTACAGCCTTTACCTTTACAGTGAGAATAAAGGTGTAAATACAAAAGTTGTACAGTTTTGGCTAAATTTTTAGAATCCATGGTCAGAAACAAAAATTGAATGTCAGAAATGTGAGATGTTGCATGCTTTCAGGTTTTTTCAAATGGGATGCCCTATATTTGGTTCTATATTCCTGAAGAGCACGATATCCCTCGCAATATCCCGATTCCAAAAATATATAGTGTGTCTATATTTGATTGAGCAGTCTCTTATATATTCGGCTCCAAAAATTGGAAAAGTACTATCCGACTTACTGATTTTGGGAACCATTCTACCTGTACAGGAAAAGCTGCAGGTAAAATTTGAGATACTTGGTTTCTCTGATAGTGTTTTTGAAATATGTTGGAGGCGGCTCGATCAAATATAGACAAACTATATATTTTTAGAATCGGGAAATTGTGCTCCTCAAAAATATAGAACCGAATAACTATAGGGCATCCCATTTGAAAAAAGCTGAAAACATGCAACATTTCAAATTTCTGACATTCAATTTTTGTTTCTGACCATATTATATTCTAAAAATTTAGCCAAAACTGTACAACTGTTGTATCCACACCTTTCTTCTACCTGTAAAGGTAAAGGCTGTAGGTGGGGTGTCAATATATAAAAAAACACCCTGTACATTAGTAATCAATGAAAATTTTGTTGAATTCCTCATAAATTTCATCGGCCATTGGAAATTTTTCAATATTTCGATAAATCTCATAAATTTCAGCAAATTTGAGAAATTCATGAAATTTTAGTACATTTATTTCATTTTGTACTAATGTTTCACGAAAATTTCAAGTGAAATTTCACGTGCCAGGCAAAAGTGAAATTTTCCCAACCCAACCTATTGAATGCCCGGTAGTTGAAAAAAGCAAAAATAAGTATACTTAACTAATTAAAATCAAAATGGATAAAAACTGTTACTCTTGATTATTGTGTCTGTGAATACCTATACCTCGACCCCGACCTCGACCTATACATACCAATCAATTCTAACTTCTGTTATTGGTCTGATGCATGTTTATAATATTCTCGATAATATTATAATAATAATATTCACCAAAGATACAGATATATGCTTAAATATTACAATTTTATCTTAATCTTATATATAGTTAATAAACAATAATCACAAAAGCAATGCATTGAATGTATTGCTTGTATGTGATGGTATTTTTCTTGTTTTTCTAATAAGGGGAGTTTGTCAAAATCGTTACCGTTATAGCCAATCACTTGCCAATGCTATTTTCCTGCCTACAAAACTGACACCAATATGTTGATTCAAATGACACATTTCACAGATTATTTGAAATTCTTCCAACAAAAGCATAAACCAACGAGTAAATTTCTGTTGAGAAAACTTTTGCTTATCTCTGAGTATTAAATCCGAGGTTACCCTTGTCGTCAACCTAGTTCCTAGCTTATGATTGTTGCCCATTTAACCCATTGTTGGCAAATTTTTACTTTAAAAAAATGAGAACTCTCATTCTCACATGTCATAATTATTGTTTAATTCATTGTTAAAGCTAGCCTTGGTCGAGGCCCAGACAAGGGCCGAGTTGTTTTGAAAAATTCTCAAATTCTCTTTCTTGACATATCAAATGTCAATTTAATTTGGGGGATTTGGGTTAAGAACAAGTCGTAATGCAAGAGGCTAAGGATTTAAAATTTAAACCAGGTGCCTACTTACTCTAAAAAAAGTTTAGGTACTCACCAAAAAACTGATAAAAAAACATAACTTAGGTATTGGGTGAATTTCCATTTTAAGGGGATTGTCCTGATACAGTCCAGCAATCGAGAGTCAATCAGGGCAAGATATTTTGTGCTCATCATAATTCTCTGAAAACCTGACTGTTTTACAGATTAAGAGTTTGCTTCGGGGTTTACTGACCCCAAGA